AAAAAAATGTTTAGTTTCACCTGGTTTAAGTTTGTAAAAAAAATCTTCTTTAAGGAACCTTTGGCTATCCGATTATAATCAATTAATTGACTGAAGAAAATAATCAACATATTAAACGATTTTCAAAATAATTGTTAGTTGCAGCCCTACATGATAGGAATTTTGTTTTTATTTTATTTTATTTAGTAAAAAAAAGCATAGTTTTATTTTAAGCACTATGATATACTATTGTTGATCAAGGGTAACCCTACATAGAATTTGATTTTGCTATCTTCAAACTGCTGTGGTTCAGTGCAAAACATTATGAGTAAGATGTGTCTAATTTTAATTTCTATAAAAACTTAAAAGAACTTAGAGAAAGCTTACTTTGCACCACAAGCCCAAAGATTTTTAGCAGAGAAAGGCTGGAATCGAGCTGCGCAAGTAGCCTGAATTGAACTTGCCAACTTTTTCAAACACCAAAATAAGAAACCATAATTATGATTGTTGAATCTCACCGTCTCAACATCACACTGTTTTCTAGTTGCAAGGTTCAGTTTGTTTTGAACGGTTCAGCAGAGCAGTCATTGCAATGGTGAAAATCTTTGGATTAGTTATTTTAGATATTTTCGGGTTGCATTTACTACTGTTGACAAAAAGCGTTTATAATAAATTTAATGTGAAAATTAAATTTTTAAAGGATTTGCATAGATAGCATTTAATCTCCACCTAAACCATTTTTCTTTTTTTGTCTTTGTCTCTTTGTCACAATGGATTGTTTTTTTTGTTTTTTGTTTTTTTTTATTTTACTGATGGCTAAGGCCTTGTCAGCAGGGAAAAGTCACAAAGAAAACATTGATTTCCGTTTATGGTGTTTGATTTCACTTCTAAATTACCCAGAATATTTCAGTATATTTTATTTTACTTTTTAGATTACATCTGAAACCATGTCTTTATGTTTCTGTCACAGAGGCTTTAACGTGTGAGCCCGGCCATTTCCAGTGTGGGAATGGGATCTGCATCCCAGCCCTTTGGGTGTGTGACGGGACAGATGACTGTGGAGACGGCACAGATGAACTTCCTGGTACCTGTGGTGAGCTCTTGGATTGTATTCACTGTTACTTCACCTATTAAAAGGTCTGAAAACTCTCAGTAAAAATAAAGATTGTAAGTTTGTATTTTTTTATCATTATCAACTCTAGTGGCCAAAACATGCAAACCATCAGAGTTTAGGTGCCCAGACCGCGTGACCCGCTGCATACCGAACAGTTGGCGCTGTGATGGAGAAGCTGACTGTGTAAATGGAGCTGATGAAGAGAACTGTGGTATGCATCCTTTTGTAAGCTTCTCTTAAAGGTCTTATTTTGCTGTTCTGTGATTGGCTCCTATTTAATTTACATTTGATCTGACAAACCGTTGTTTGCCATTTCTTTCCAGTTCCCAAGCTGTGCACAGATTCAGAGTTTACCTGCACAAGCGGCCAATGTGTCTCCTCTGCCTTCGTGTGTGACAAAGATGCAGACTGTGATGATGAGAGCGACGAGGCCTCCTGCCCGCCAATCACCTGCAGCTCTGCGTCCTTCCAGTGCAACAACACCGTCTGTGTTCCCCGACTCTGGGCCTGTGACGGCGATGAAGACTGCTCTGACGGTTCAGACGAGTGGCCTGAGAACTGTGCCACAAAGACTCCAACCCGCTCTGCCGTTCACCAGTGCTCCTCCCAGGAATACCAGTGTGGCAGTGGGGATTGCATCCACAGCAGCTGGAAGTGTGACGGAGATACTGACTGCCTCGATCGGTCAGATGAAGCTCACTGTGGTAATTTTTTTTTTTTTTTTTTCGGCTTTTCCTGTGCTAAAGGCGATTCATTCATTTATTCATTTCTTAATTTATTCAATAAGTTTCATTCCTTCCCAAATCGATGCGACTGAATTGAAAAGGAGCAGAAGGGAGAACAATATGGTGATATCGACCCCCTAGTCATTCGGCATCAGTATTTGCATCCATCTTTTCTCAGTTAGCCACATTTACTTTGATTGCATTTTACAGCATTTATTTAACTATTATTTACGTATTTTAATAATCAAAATGTAATACAATCATTATGTCCATGAAGTCTCAGCTTTCATAGTCTTAGCATTGTGTTGTTTATGTGTTTTTTGAATGCCATCATCACTCTTACGTCCATTCCACATATTAATGCCTTTTAGTCTAATGGTTCATTCCTTCATTTTGGTTTGGAATCCGGATCTATTAAAAATATCTGTTCCTTTCAGTTCATTCTGACTCTCTTTTTTTCAAACCTTTCTTGGATGATCACTGGCAATATTTTCTTATTAACTTAAGACAAAACCTGAAGTATTTTCTAATCCCCTAGGTCATAAGAAGGATCCCTGTGTTTTGCTTTGTTAATAGTTTTCTGCACCCTTTTGAATTGCATGATAATAAAGTTTACCTTTATGCAATTTAAACATTAAACTTTATGTATTTCAAATAAATACACTTCTTAGTATTAATTTTGAATATACTTTACTATTGCTTAATCCATAAAAATTATAATTATGTATTTGTTGATAAGCTTTATTATACAAATGAATATGTATCATAATTTGATAGTTTTGTGTTAAAAGTATCTAAAAAAATTTGTTATGAAATTTTAAAATTACTTAAATATTGAAATTTGGTTAAAATATTTTGTGAGCACCGTGACTAGGAGTACCCATTAATGTTCTCCATCCTTCTTCCTTCTCATATCTTTTCAAGAAAAACAGTTAGAGCCTTTTCCTAAACAGTCTAAAAAGCCAAAACAACAAATGAAGAAAAGCTTGAAATCAAGGGTGTAACTTTGCGATAAAAGTTGGTGGGGACGCTCTAAGGATGGTGGCTGATAGACCTACAGCTACTCAACCCAAACGCTTTCAATAGGGTTTGTATTTTCCCAAAAATGAGCTCAAACATATATTTATTGAATGCTTTGCTATTGTTTAGAACACAATAGTACCACAATACATTTGTGGTATTTATAGTTATAGACAGATGCCTGCCTTTAGTGCATTATTTTATAAAGGACTCAAAAACATTAATGTATAAAAAATGGCGAATAACAGCCGATACTGATAGCAAAATTAATATATCATGCATCTCTAGTATGGACACAACTTCACTTCCATCCATCCATGCATGGATTCCCTTTAAGCTGCATCAGTGATTATCCTCCTTCACAAGCAGCAAAATCAAATTTAGAAATTTGTCCCACGTGTCATTGACAGCCAAAGTCTATATATTGAACCTTATATTTCAAAAATAATTTATACACTGGTTTGTATTATTTGTGCTTTAATTCTTGTAGGTTTCTTATACTTTAATTTTAAGTCTGTTACCTGTGAGTCTGGCTCTCTCTTGGTTGCTGGCGCAGCTATTTCTGCGTCTCATTCAGCTACAAAAGACAAAATTATATGTTCAATTTTATTATAGCATTGCATATTTTTTCTTTTAAACTTGGAGATATATTTTATTGCATGTTGCATATCCCAGTAAATATTGTATACCTTTAAATCAGCGGCTCTCCCTAATTGTGTCTCTGCTCTGCTTAAAAACAGATTAATGAATCTTTCTACCAATATAATGATGCCAGAGAAAATCATTTTCAGGATATCTAGAAGCTCTGCAGTCTGATTCTCTGTTCAATAAGAAAACAACAGATATATGTTAAATTTAATCTGTAGTGAGTATGGTTATGAGAAGCCCAGCTTTTTTAACTCATATAAATGTACAATCTGCTGCCATTTTTAGCTCAAAAACGTCTGTATGTGTAACTAATGGATTTTTCGGTGGCATCTCTGATTATTTTTTTTAACCAATCAGTCTCCTAACTTTTATTTAAACACATATCGGAGTAGCTGCCAGTTAAAATTCACTGAGTACTACCGTGAATTTATGTTAAAATGGCTTGCCACAGTAGGTCAGACGGAACCAACTGTATGTTAAAACGGCTTGCCATATCTGGTATCTCTTCTCATCCTCGTAGCTGCTCTATACGCAGTGAATAGCGACACCCGAATAATATTATTTCACAAACCTACAGATCTGATGATGTTTCACCAAGAGGTGGAACTGGAGAGCAACGGGAGCGCGAGAAAAAAAAACACGGATTGAAAACGCTCTGAACACAGACAGCTGCACCCAAACCCAGTTACTGTTGGCTGAAGTAAATCAACGGAAAGGAGGGAAAAAAGCAGAAATTATTGGTGGGGACTGTCCCCCACCATGCCCAAAGTGAAATGGAGATAAACATCTCCATGGCAACCATTTCTCACTTCACTGTTGTCTCTTTTCACCCCTCTAGCCCATTCCACGTGTCGTCCAGATGAGTTTGAATGTGGTGACGGTACGTGCATCCATGGCAGCCGCCAGTGCAACCAGCAGTATGACTGCAGCGACAGGAGCGATGAAGTCGGCTGTGTCAACGGTACACCCCCCCCCCTTCTACTTTTTTGTCCCCATAGACCTGCAGTATCTTGGTGTTGTGTGACATGTTGTACTATCGTGTCTTGTCTCCAGTGACCCACTGTGACGGACCGAACCATTTTAAGTGTCGCAACGGGGATTGTATAACCATGGAGAAAGTGTGTGACAAGAGGCGCGACTGCAGGGATTGGTCAGATGAGCCTCTTAGGGAGTGTGGTAATTACTGACACACTTAAATCTAAGCCTTCTGCTTAATTACTACTTTATGTAACTATTAATGGTGTCTACAGCTTGAAAGTTGCAATTATATTTCCAGAAAAAATGAATGTTTTCCTGTCTCTGCAGGCTCTAATGAGTGCCTCTACAACAACGGTGGCTGCTCTCATGTTTGCAACGACCTGAAGCTCGGTTACGAGTGCTTGTGTCCAACCGGTTACCACCTAGTGGATAAAAGACGGTGTGAAGGTAACGCATGGTTGGACTGTGAACTTAGCTCAGGTTAAGAAAGGATGCCAGGAATCTGTTTACTTTCTGTCTCTGTCACTGGCCGTTCTTTTAGATAATATTGAACTCATCATTTTTAAAGGCTCAGCAATGTCCCATTATGGTTTCAACTTTTTTGTTGTTTTCTCCGAATTAGACATTGATGAGTGTGCAAACCCAGAAACCTGCAGCCAAATCTGCATCAACCAGATGGGCGGCTATAAATGTGACTGTGAGGGAGGTTATCAGATGGACCCAGCAACGCATGCTTGTAAAGCTATAGGTAAGAGTGACATTACTTTTTTTTTTTTATTATTTTAGAACCACAAACTTTATACCTTGATGCCCAAATGGTTCTGAGGTCGACTCTGAATGTTATTAAAACTGTCAGAGGGAAAACACATGCTATCTTGGCTATGTACAGAATGCAAAGTGTTTGGTGCATATTTCCAACAATAGGTATCAAAAGGATGAAGTATTAAAGTTTTTACACCTATTATTTATTTTATCATTGAAATAAATGGCACACTCTGGTAAGATTTTCAAAACTATCGATACTCAAAAGCTGCATCTGGACTCATAACTGATGTGGCCTGTTTTCAATACTAAGGACATACGTTTTGTTTGCATATTTATTGATCATTTTAGAAATCTGGTTTACTTGTATATTAGAAAAATAATACCTCAGACAAACTTAAGATATTTTCAGGCTGTTCTATATTAATTTAGCACTTTTTGCACACTTTCTTAACTAGCATTTGTGATTCTGTTAAAAAGCAGGTGAGATTTTCATGTTCATAAAAATATATATATTTTTGCACTATATCATTTGTGGGGGTTTTTTCCCCCTCCGGTATGAAGAGTCAAATATTTTCCGCGGTATTGATATTGAGTTTTAAAATTTAGTACCGTGACCCTGCATTCACGCATTTCTAGATTCTGGAATGTTCAAACACAACTCAAGCTGTGTCCGATTGGATGGAGATGTCAGATTAGAACATCTATGAACATTTAATTTCAGTGTAGGGACTTTGACTGGTATTTGAACCAATTTAACCCTCTTTTTTTATATTTTTTTTGTTATCCAGCTGTAAAGTAAAGCTCGACTACCTTCTCATTACATCATATTAAACATCGTCCATCCTTCCAGCTATTTTGACCCCCTTCCCTGTCTCTACTGAGGCGAAACATCCAAACTATGATTCAGATTTGAGATGGTGCGGTCAGGGTGATGCGCAGTGTCAAATGTAATAGAACTTTGTCTGATCATACATCCTTCTTCTACATTTGCTGGTGAAGATTATCAGTCATCCTGGTTATAGTCATTAAAAAAAAAAAAATCAAAAAAACTTAAACAAAACAAATCACTGGACTTTATTTTCCAAGGTTAAAGTCTAGGGAAGTCATATTAAAATTTCAAATCATTGTGGCTTAAACATGTATATTAATGTACTCTTTATCAGAACATATTATCCCAAAAGTTAGAACATTTCTATTTTTAAAAAAACCCTGTCTTAAAATCTGTGTTGTTTTTTTCTCCACGTTATCTTATGCAGGCCAGTTAGTTATACGTCAGCTTGAACACCTAAATTCGGCCAATCATATATCAACGGTCATCTGTCAATAAAATTTTTTCAGTCATAGCATCTTGAATCATATGTTGCAGCTAATAAACGCAACTGTTTAAATAAGAAATAAGAATAATTTACTTTCCCATTGAGTTCCGTCCCAGTGTTCACGTGGATGGACGTCTGTGTCTTCGGCAGGCGTAGAGCTACACCAAACCAAGCTTCTGCCGCCCTGGTGTCCTCTTCCACTACATCTTCATCCCCGCTTTCCTCCTATAAATCAAAGATGTATGATGGAGGAGACTCATCCACCTTCTTCGACACAAAACTCTCCTCCTCTTGCATGTTTCCTCTGTCCATAGCGTTCCTTGACAGTGTCGTTTCTAAGTCACCAATTTAGTGCTTTTTGGTCCCAATGGAATTTCCCATTGGGAACCTACTAGCACTAAGTTGCTAACTGGTTAGCAATTTAGTGCTACTTGGTCCCAATGGAATTTCCCATTGGGAACCTACTAGCACTAAGTTGCTAACTGGTTAGCAAGACGCTTCCGACAAACCGGCCACAAGCTTGCAAAGCTTCCGCCACAATCCCGTCCCCTTGATAATCGACCAATCACATTCACTTTATTCACTCGTGTAAAGTCATGCACCACTCGGGAGAATTCGGAAATGCAACGTTTGGAACAGCGACTTTAAAGACGTATTGCTTCCCATCCAGGAATTTTTCTCTATTCAAAATGTGTGGATTAGCTTTGAATCCAGGCTTTATAGAGTACGCCAACAAAAGCCTTGTTATGGCTTAGAAAACATGCAAACTGAACCCTAATCTAGACATTTTGAATTGAGAAAAAGCTTCCTGGATAGATCGAAACGTCTTCGAATTTGGAAAACAAAGTCCAGTGGTTTGTTTTAAAAAAAAAAACTTTTTTAACCTTCTTCCACATATTTACCGTGTCTCTTCACATGATAAACTTCTGGTGGCTTTCTTTCTATAGTGGCCTCTCTTTTTCTTGCCGTCCCTACAAGATTTTTAGAAAACACCACTAACAGCTATGGTGTCCAAATATCCTCTGCAGCTCCATCAGAATTAGCTTACAGTTTTTAAATGCTTCTCTAGGTAACGTTTTAATCTGTTTAAGTCAAGAGCCACATATTGGTTTGCAGTTTTCTCTCTGTTTCTAACTTGTCCGTACTTTAAAACTATGACTTTCTCTCTGACCGTTGGGCTGTGTTCTGAGGTCTTCATGACGCTGTTTGTTTACTGATGTTCTCAAACAAACCTTTGAGGCCTTCACAGAACATCTGAATTTATACTGATAATAAATTACATGGACTTGGACTTTATCCACTGATTAAATCACCATTAGAGACAACACCTCGTTTGCTACATTGTTAAAAGTTTAACTTAATTTGAATTATTAAATCATAAAGTTGGGATTCTAGAAAGGAAGTAGACACACTACAATCAGGAATCAATGTGTTTTGAAACTAGCTTCTTGTATTTTTTTAAATATTTGTTATATAAAAAAACACCTTTAACATATGGCTGTCTTTTTGGTTCCTCGTGATACATTCCAAAAAGAGGAAATTTCATAATATGATGCCATTTCCAAGACCAATGTGTGTACTTAGTGTTTACCATTATTTAAAAAACAGGAGTTGATTTTAAATATATTTAAGTTGTTTGGCTTTTTTCCTTGCAGGTACAATAGCCTACCTTTTCTTCACCAATCGCCATGAAGTCAGAAAAATGACGCTGGACAAAAGCGAATACACAAGAGTAATCCCCCGACTAAAGAACGTGGTAGCCCTGGACATGCACATAGCCACCAAAGAGATGTACTGGTCGGACCTCTCCCAGAAGAAAATCTACAGGTCAGCAAGGTTAAAATAGTGAAATGAATGCAGGATTGTTTCATTTGCCTCTTTAGTTTTGTTTAATTCGTTCCCTTTGGACTCCCTCAGGACTCCAATGGACTCCGCGGAGGACTTCTCTCAACACCATGTAGTGATCGACAGTGATATTGAGGGTCCTGAAGGTATAGCGTTCGACTGGGTCCATGGTAACCTCTACTGGACCGACAGTATTCGGAAAACTGTTTCCGTGGTAACTGCTGATGGTAGCCGCCGCAAAACTCTCTTCTATCAAGACTTATCAAAGCCCCGTGCCATTGTGGTAGATCCACACAGCAAGTAGGTTTTTTTATACATTTTTTAACTTTTCCACAATCTGCTGCCGACGGCATTTTTAGTTGATTTCTCCTCCTATGTTTTCACCTCACAGCTTTATTTACTGGACTGATTGGGGGAATCCTGCAAAGATTGAGAGAGGAGGCCTTAATGGAGTTGACCGCTCTGCTTTGGTCACTGATAACATCGTGTGGCCTAATGGGATCACACTAGGTAAACTCAGTCCCATCTGGTTTCAGCTTCTTTATTTATTCATGTGTACATAAAGCTAATGGTCTCTTCTAACCCTCTTTTTCGGCCCAGATCTGCTGACCCAGCGGCTCTACTGGGTAGACTCTAAGCTGCACACGCTCTCCAGCATCGACGTGCAAGGCGGTGGCCGGCGCACCCTGATCATTGATGAGGATAAACTGGCTCATCCATTGGGACTTACAGTCTTTGAGGTATACATTTAGAGGCCAAACCCGCCAAAATCATGTTCCCTTACAGATTTCTTTTAACATTTCTTTGAGCATTTTTCCAGATATTTAAGTTTGGTTTTGTTTGTTCTAGGAAAAAGTATTCTGGACAGATGTCAGTAATAATGCGATCCTCAGTGCCAACAGGCTGACAGGCAGCGATATCGCACCTGTGGCAGAACATCTTTCATCCCCTGAAGACATCATTCTTTACCATAACCTCAAACAACCTGCTGGTAAGACCATTATATCCCTGACTACTTGTAATGGGTTTTTTTTTTTTAACCTACCATGTATGGAAGCAGGAGTTTATGTGGTAGACTGTAGAAATTGAGCATAACTGTGAATTGGAAT